GTTCTATCTATCTCCGACTGTAAAAGATGGTAGAAATCATCTATTTCTTCTTCTTTGGCTCTGGTTGTTGGTGCATATATCTGAATGATAGTGATATTCACTGGACTTCCTTGTAAGCGTATGGATAACAACTTCATTTTGGATACACAATCAACAAACTTGGTTATTAGCAGTCAGGAAATCAGAAAATGCACTGCACTGGGAACGTCTGCAGTTAGAGACCTTTCTAAAGTACTGAGGAGCAATGGTGTCAGTTTAAGGACTAACATGCATCTAATTCTGGCCATGGTCTTTCCGATCACTTACTATGTATATGAGAACTGGATAATGAATTAGGATGACAGGAGAAGAACTGCTGTTTTTGAGCTGTAGTGCTGGAGAAGAGTACTGAACATCCCATGGACAGCTAAAGAAAAAACAAATACGTATTAGAAAAAAGTGCAGCAGCCAGAGTGCTCCTCGGATGCAAAAAAGGTAAAGTTCATCTCACATACTTCAGAAACATTGCTAGGAGAGGCTCTTCTTTGGGTAGAGACATTATGCTTGGAAAAGCAGAAAATCAGCAAAGAAAACACTCAATCAGGTGAATTGACACAGTGACTACCACAATGAGCTCTAATGTGTCAAGGAAGTGTGAAGATGGCACAGGATAAGACAGAGTTCAGATCTCTTGTTCATAGGGTCACTATAGGTCATACTTGCCTCAACAGCATCTAACACCACCACCAAAATGGTATTTGTTAGAAAACAAAAATGTCTGACTGACTTTAAGAAAACCAACTTTTTTTTAAAAAAGGAAATATAGCAATCTGTACAGTCTTGGAAACTGTTGACAAGTTCTACTGTGTTCAGTCACTATGACACTGTGCCCAACTTGACAACAATGGACCTGACCTTTAGTAAAATAAAATGTATGACAACAATTGGAAAGATTGAGAGAAGGTAAACAGAAGGACATAAGTATTAGGGCATTCCACTGTTTATGAAGTGGTGTAATGTATTTTAGAGTCACTATGTATTGCAGGCAACTCAACGGCACATAACAATAAGAACATACTATGACAGGTTTGCAAGCAGGATTGGCATCCACTTCCTAAACAGCATGCCTCTAGAAACTCTATGAACTTTGATAAAGGGGCTTCAGGCCTTTTGTTCATTGGTTCACAATGAGGTATGCTTGACTCGAAAGCAATAAACAACAAGAAGAAGAATGTATTTAAGGAGCTCTGATGATGTAATCACTTTGGTCTTCACTCCAACTCTAAGGCAGCACCTCTCCAGAGGATTGAATCTATCAGCAATTGTGCAGAAGAAAGAGGGGCAAGGTCCTTTCATGTAGTTTACACTCTAAAAACCCACTGTACGATCAGCTGTGAGTTAGGTCCAAGTCAACAGCTATGAGTTTGGTGTCCAAGAGTATCATTTGGATGTTGTTGCTGTGATGCGCCTTGAAGTCAGCTCCAACTCATACTCAACCTCTCTGCTCTATGCAGTGTCATCCTCACAATCAAGCCTATTGCTACAGTTACTTTCAATTCATCCTGTTCAAGGTCTCCCTCCCACCTCTTTGCTGACCTTCAACTCTTCCAACCATGATGTCTCTCTCCAGGGAAAGGCCTTTCCTGATAGTTTGTCTAAAATATGTTTGTCTAAAGACATACCATCCTTGTTTCTAAGCAGCACTCTAACTTTTCAGGTCTTTTGAGACAGAGTGTCTCTCAGAAGACAAGAGTAATAATAATAATAATGGGCAAGGTCTAATGGGGATTAATTTTATAAAACATAATAATGCATGGGAATGATTGTATGAAACAAAATGTGAATGAAGAATAATAAGAAACACAATGTACATGAACTCTGTAAGCAAATAAAATAAAGTACAGAAGCAGAGGACAACACTCGTGGAAAAGAAAAAAGTATGTGAGGATGAAGTTATGCTGCTGATGCAAGTTTTAACTTCAGGTCACTTTCTGACTGGCAGGTAAGACAAGAAGAGATCTTCCTCTGCAGTATTAAAGCAAACATGGTCTTGCTGAAACCCAGACTGTGGAACTCTCAGATTCTAAAACTGTCAGATCTTATAAGCCACCTAAAACCAAAGAAGCATTCTAGCTTAAGTTCTTCTAAGCAGATGTCTGTTCTTTTTTGGCATTCCACAGTATATGCAATATTTTTCACCAACACTACAACTCCAAATGATCAGTTAGTTCTTTGGCCTTTTTTATTCAGAGTCCAACTTCTATGGACGATGTTCAAGCCACGTCTTCCAAGAGCCTTAATTTTCTAAGTGACGTCTTTGCTCTTCTGGACTTTACAGAGATTTCTGACAATACATCTCTTCAGTACAATATGTCTTTTGATTTCCTGACTGCTTCTGCCATGGGTATTGATTGTGGGTCCAAGTAAAATAAAAGCCTTGACAATTTCAATCTTTTTATAATTTATCATGGTATGTTCAATTTTAAACATTTAAATGATAACTTAAAGATAAATACCAAGAACATGAAGTCTACAACAGTTGAGTTGATTCTAACTCATAGCAACCCTCAAACAAAGGAAATAATATGGAATCATAAAATAACAGGAGTCAAAATGTAGCTTGATCCAAGGCTTTATCCATTAGAGAACAGAACATATTTGTATTCTTCAGTAAAAATTTGTTTCATGAAAATCATAATCAAATCAATGACAATGAACGGAGATAGCACTTACTGCCCAAACTGGTGATGTAAAGCCCAGAATTGCAGCCTTTGCTCCATCAGCCACATAAGCAATAATGTTCTCTCCAAGACGTGTATCTCTGAACAAGGCTCTAAGGATATTTAGAGCATGAACCTAGAACAAAAAGTCCAAGATTAGGCATAGGGGAAAACCATGCTGACCATAAATCTGTATATATCCAATGGCATAGCCTCCAAATAAAACAAAAATCTGTGGAATTACAAGAAGAAATGGACAAACCAAGAATCAAATAACAGATTTAAATAAAACTCACCAATGAATGATGAAACCAATTATAAAAAGTTTGTAATATTTAATCAATGCCATAAAAAATACAATTAACATATGCAGCAAAAATTAGCAACAGTGGTAAAATTCTGGCCTCCCATACGGAACAACCATGCAAACCACCTCATGTGCTGCTATTACTCATCTGTCAGTGGAGGACATTCATGGTATTGTGATGCTGAGCAGATCTCAGAAAAACTACAAAAATAGGACTGGTATTCTGCTTCTGACAGTCAGTAATGAAACTGCCTGGATGACATTTAGGGGCTGACTCAAGACTAACTAACAACTTAGGGAAAGTACAGTTATCAAGCATAAATGGAACATTTCTCTTTCAATCTGATCTGAAACCTAGTGACAAAGTCTGAACAAATACTCCATTGTATTGTTGTTAATAGGAATAATAAATTACCATCTTAAGAGTTAACCATTTGATAACTATAATTTGGGAGTATTACTCCTATAGTGTGATCATATATAAATTCAAATTACTTTTCAAAGATAATTTAAAGACTGACCCATTTTGAAACAATGTCCAAAGAAAGAAAACTTCCTATTTGCATCTGAACAATTAAGAAGATGCTACATATTAACAGTTACCGGATACATCTAAAATTTAACTTTTAAAAAAGTGTATCTTAAATGTTTCTATTTATAAAACATAGGGCTACAATTGAATTACCTTTAATAATTAAACAAGACATTAAGAGGATCCTATTTTAAATATTCACATTTGTTATTTCTAGGTGCTGTTGAGTCAACTACAATTCAAAGCAAGCTAATGAACTACAGAACCTTGCCATAACCTGCATCATCTTCAGCACCTCCAACATGCAACAGGCTGTTGGAGTCATTTTGTAATCCCATCACCTTGAAGATTTTCTTCTCTTTTTCAGAAGTGACCCTCCACTTTTCCCAGCACAATGTCCTTTTCCAAGGACTGGCACAAACTGACAAAATACCTAACAGATATGAGGTCAGCTTTCACCATGACTCCCGCTAAGAAGCACTCAACACAAAGGCTTTTGACTATGTGGATTATAACAAATTATGGATAATAATGAGCAGAATGGGAATCCCAAAGTTCTTAATCGTGCTCAGATTAAATCTGTATATACACCAAGAAGCAGTTACCCAAACAGCAAGAGAACACCGTACAGAGATTTCACAGGGCAGACAACAAAGCAGAGTATTATAAAAAAATTTGCAGAGCTGAAATCAGAAAATAAAAAAAGAAAGAACTCATTCACTTTCTCAAAGTGAAAGGAGTAAAAAACAAATTCAAGCCTCCAAGTGTAATATCGAAGGATGCTAAGGGGAAAATCTTGAATGATCAAGTAAACATCAAAAGAAAATGGAAGGAACACAAAGAGTCACTATACCAAAAATAACTGATTGACATGGAAGAATTTTTCGGGAAGGAGTACATGATCAAAAATCAGTGGCATTAAAGGAAGATGTTTAAGCTGCATTGATGGCATTGGTAAAAAATAAGTCCCCAAGAATAGATCGAACCCAAGATCAATGATGTCAGAAGGTGCATGTGATCCAAACATAGTCTTTTCAATTATTTTCTATGTATATAGATAGAAGAATTGAGTTTTTTGAGCTGTGGTGCTGGAGAAGAGTACTAAATATCCCATGGATTGCCAAAAGAAGAAACAAATATATAAAGAAATGGTTCCCGGAGAAAGTGAAACTTGGAGTGCTTTTGGAGGCAAGAAGAGTAAGGATTCATCTCACATATTTGGGGCATTCTGTTAGGAGGGCCAGTCTTTGGGAAAAGACGTCAAGCTTGGAAAGGTGGAGGATCAGAGAAAGAGAGGAAGACTTTCAACTAATCTGATTAACACAGTAACTGTAACAATGGGCTCAAGTGTGTCTGACATGACGAGGATGGCAGAGGCTTGGGCGGGGTTTAGATCGTTGTTCACAGGGTCACTATGAGTCACAAACTGGTGGATAGCACCTAACAACAATAATTCAATCTGTATGCTACACAAATAAATCAAGAAGCTGAGCTACATGGATAAAAAAGTGGAATTAGAATTGGAGGTAGATTTATCAACAACCTTTGCTATGCAGATGACACAAACTTGCTCACAGAAAATGACAAGAACTTGAAACACTTTCAGATGATAATGGATTACAACCTTCAATACGGATTACATTTCAACATCAAGAACACAAACAAAAATTTTAAAAATCCTCACTACTTGGCCAATAGGCAACATGATGACAGACAGAGAAAGACTCAAGTTGTCATGGACTTCATTTATGAAGACCCCCAATCAGCACACAGGGAAGTGCCGGTCTCAAAAACCAAAGGAATGTTGCATCAGGAAAAGTGCTGTCAAGGATATGTCTAAAGAGCTAAAGAGCAAGAATGCCAATTCAAAGATTAAAGTGTGGCTGATATATGTGCAAAATAATGAGATCTAACATTTACAGAGAACTGTTACTGTACTGAAGGTATCTACTAGGCTTTTACATACTACCCAGTGCAGAGTCTAGGAGTAAGCACTGACTTGACAGCAGCAGGTCCTGGTTTAATAGAGTGAAGCCGGGGTGAGGGCCTAACTCAAGAATATATGCATACACTGAAAACCAAAGAACTCATGAAATATTATATAAAACGAGTAACCATGGAGGACATTACGCTGAGTGAAATATCTCAGTCACAAAGGGACAAATACTGCATAATGCCACTGTTATAGAATAGGACTGATATGCCATTGCAGGGAAACAGAAACGGGGGAAAATAATGTACATGGCATTGAAACAGATGAGGGAGAGAGCTGTATAAAAGAAATATATGATTAGGTATTATTGGCATGACATGAGTCCAGAATAAGAGCTGCACAGTAAAGTGGTCTGGGTGGGGCAGAGAGGGAAAAATATATGCATACACAGATAACAACTAAAGCATCCAAATACCAGCTAAAATGAAACCGTGAATATGCCAATAACTTTATTTTGGGAAAGATACAGCTGCTTAGTTATAAAATAGTAAAGCTTATGTGTTACATATTTTTATCACTTTAAAAATAGTACTTTTAATCAGTATTTATTTTAAGAAGACCAGGAAAGACAAAAGAAAATCACTGGAATAAACTTCAAATGTCAGTCTGTCTCTAAAATTGTTCTATAAAATTGAGTTCTGTATCTTTAGCCCATAGCTGTTCATTTTGGAGTATTTTTGTTTTTTCCAGTGTAGAAAAGTTACAGCAAAGAATAAAAACTGCTGCCTTCTTAGGAGGACTTGTGTTAATTTATTTAAACATTTACTTCCATTATTACCTGGGGGACAGTGCTCTGTAAGTCACTCATAGGTCTGGCCAAGGAAATTAACTCTTTCATTGTTATTTTCAACAAACCCATTTTGCCCTTCTTTGGTTCAGATGCCAATAATGCCTATAGAAAAGCAAGACAAAAATTAAGAGAAGCCTTAATAGAAATTTGCCTGGTATTTCTCTGCAAATGCAAAATTCTCATTACAAACAACAGTGTAGGCAAATAAATCACATGACCATGGGCAGTTCACTTAACCTCCCCATTTCTCAGATTCTTCATTCGTAAAGCTAGACAGTAGAACTGGACAATCTCTAAGTTCACTACCAGTTTGTTAATTACATAATAGTAAGATTGAAAATCTGCTCTTACTGACATTTTATGGGCTGTAATTTGGTGGAAGACACAATAAAAACATCCAATTTTAACAGCAAATTTTTGGACCAAGAAAAAAAAATTTTTTTTTTCATTTAAACAAAACAAAAAACTCTCTGAATTCAATTTCTTATGTTATTGTTGTTATTGTTATGTGCCATCGAATCACTTGTGATACCCAGTGACCCTATGTACAACCGCTCTGAACCCTGCTCTATCTTGTGCTAACTTTATTATCTCTAATACACCTACCCCCATTACTCCAGTCACAGAGTCAATCTATCTCATCCCAAAGTCTTCCTATATTGCACTGTCCCTCCATTCTTCCAAGCATGATGTCCCTCTCCAAGGACTAGCTCCTCCTTACAACATATACAAAGTATGTGAGAGGCAGCTTCAAAATCCATGCATTCCATGATCTTCTGCAACAAGTACTTTATGTCCTCTTCACTTTCAGCAAGCAAGGCTGTGTCTTCTGCATAAACACAGGTTATTGACTAGTCTCCCTCCAATCCTGATGCTACATTCTTCTTCATAGAGTCCAGCTTCTTGCGTAATTTGCTCAGCATACAGATTGAATAGACATGGGGAGAATACAACCCTGACACACTCCCTTCTTAATTGTAAACCATACAGTGTTCCCCTGCTCTGTTCACACAACAGCCTCCTGGTCCAGATACAGGTTCGATATGAGCACAATTACGTGCTCTGGGATTCCCATTCTCAATGTCAGCCACAATTGTTGTGATCCACACAGTCAAATGCCTTTACATGGACAGTTTGTGGCTGGCTATTGTAAATGGTATTGCTTTTTTAGTTTCCTTATCTGTGTAGGTTACTTTTTTAAAAAATAAAATTTTTATTTTATACCGGTTTACTGTGTGCTACTTTTTTTAAAAAAAAAGTATTTGCTATGAATAAAACACTGAATGTACAAAACTCAACGATTTGAAATCCAGTTTTATTTCCTCCTCAAATTCATCACTTCTAATAATCAATCCTACTTTGTTTCAAATTTTGCATTCCAGTCATCAATTATTAATAATATTTTTTTATTGCATATTTGGTCAATTTCAGACTACAAAGTTTGGTAGAATTCCTCAATTTTCTCTTCTTTGGCTTTAGCTGTTCATGTGCATACTTGAATAAGAATTGCATTAACAGGTCTTCCTTGTATCTGTAGGGATAATATCCTATCACTCACAGCATTGTACTTTTGGAAACATCATGACTTTTTGACTATGAATACAATACCATTCTCCCTTAATTTTTTCATTTCCAGAGTAGATAAGACTATCTGATTCAAGGTAACCAATTCAAGTCAATTTCAGTTCACTAAATGTCTAGAATGTTGATCTTTATATGTTCTAATTTTTACAACTTAAAATTTCTAATATTCACCCTTCATATATTCTAAAATCCAATTATTAATGGATGTTCACATCTGTTTCTTGTCATTTTTAATAACCTCCACTCAAGGGGTGCTATTTTTAGTATTATGTCTAATTGTTCATTCTGCACAATTCATTCTGAATTATTCAGTGAGTTTTCAAAGACTGGATATTTCAGAAGTAGATGGCCAATCCTTCTTCTAATTCTGTCTTAACCCAGAAGCCTGCTGAAATCCTTCCATCATGGGTGACCTACTGGTATTAAAATACTGGTGGCACAGACTCCAGCATCACTTCCTAAAGACCAGCAATGTATGAATACAAGACAAGCTCATCCAAAAATGTGTCACATTTATATAAGTCTATTTAATACATAAGAGGGAATCTATACAAGTCTTTGTCCAATTTAGAAGGCTGACTTCTTAGAAAGTTTGTCCCAAGGACAGATCTATTATAGGAAACCACTGTCCACGAATTATAACAAAGTCACAAATGCAAGGACACTGAAAAAAAAAACAACAATATTCATTATATAATATACTCATTCACATATCAAAAGACACAAAGAAATGAGCTGGTGCCCCTTATAGAAAAGTACCTGTATGTAAAAAGGAATCCCAGCACTGCGTCTTGTCGCACAGAGTTTGGATGAAGGATCACTGCATTTAATTTCCTCTAAAACATTCCGTAACCATTGTTCTGGTAGCTTTTGCAGACTCACATTTGGGCACCTAGGAAGCATACATAAGCAAATCTTTGGAATTAACAGACATCAAAAAGTAAAAGTATAAAACATTAACATACATTAAAGCTATTAGAAAAGAATAAAATACATTGGGAGGGGTAAAAGCATGAAAATGGCTTCAATGCTATTTGATCTACTTTCTTCTTTATTATTGTTGTTGTTATGTGCCGTTGGTCGAGTCGTTTGCGACTCATAGCGACCCTATGTACAATAGCCCTAAGCCCTGCTGTGCCAATCACATTGCCTCTGACACACCCATCCCAATTACCCCAGTCACTGAATCAATCCACCTCATAGAGAGAGGGTCTTCCCCTCCTGCGCTGTCCCTCTACTCTCATCATACCAAGCATGATGTCCCTCATCATACCCAGCATGATGTCCCTCTCCAAAGAACTGTCTCTCCTTACAACATGTCCAAAGTATGTCAGGTGAAGCCCCAGAATCCTTGCCTCCAAGGAGTAGCCTGGTTTAGCCCTCTCTAGGATGAATCTGTTTGTTTTCTTGGAAGTCCATGGTACATTCAATACTCTTCTCCAGCACCACAGCTCAAAGGCGTTAATTCTCCTTCTATCCTCCCTAGTCATTGTCCAGCTCTCTGATGCATAACAAGTGATTGCAAAGACCATGGCCTGTATCAGGCTCACCTTAGTCTCCAGAGAGACACTGTTGCTCTTGAGTACTTTAGAGAGGTCCCTAACAGCAGACTTTCCCATCGCAATATAGGTCTTAGGATTTGAAGCTTGTGAAGATGTTAATTTTTATAACTATTCTGTGTAAAGTAGTTAAATACAAAATAAGCTATGATAACCATTCTTGCATCCACACTTAAAATTTTACAAAGGAGGTTGAACAATCATTTATTAATGTGTTACAACTCAAGTTTCCAATAGAGAGAATATAACTTAAAGTTTATGTTCTACACTTATAAAGATTATATACAGATTAAGAAGAAAACCTATTTCAAACATTATATTCATAATAATTTTTAATCTCTCACAAAATACAAACCACCATAATAAAAGTTTCAACCACATTCTTTGACCAAACTATGAAAGAAGCATAAACATTTTGAGATTTCAATATTTGAATATTATGTAAGCTTCTGTTCTATTACATTAAGACTGCTTTAAAATATTAAAGTTGGTTTTGTTTAAACTTTGAAACATATGATCTGCCAAAGTATATAATATTTTCCTAGGAAATTGCATATTCAGTGGTAGGTTTTCATAATTATTTAAAGAGTATCACAACTGGATTTAGCTAAAATTAACATATGGAAATAAACACAGGATATCCTAAGGAACAATTTTCTGAAAAATACTCCTATAGACAGACAATATTTTTAGTAAAAAAGTAGATCTCTTAGAAACATATTTTGGGATTCTATTCTAGGCTTGATTTGAAAGAAAATTTCAAACTTAACATTCCAATTAGCAACCAAACTTACTTATTTTACATCAGAAAAATAATAACACTTTTAAGATCCTTTTTGAAAAATATATATTAAATGCTATGCATTGTTCTATAACATTAATTACAATTGATCAAGGCCATTTACTAAGTCTAATCAAATTCTCTCTGTCCCTTGCTTTCCCTTTACCCTATCTAAACACTAATCTCTGCTCCCCTTCCCCTTCTCTCCTATCCCTGTGAATCCTTCACTATTCCTATTGTTGTGTAAACCTCTCCTAAGATTCCCCTTGCCTCCCAGCCAATCAGCTATGGATATTCTGTTCTGATACTTAACTGCAATACACACAATTTCTAACTATACACTGACTTCATATTGACCTCCCTTCACCTATTCAAATAAAGTGTTCATTAATTATTCATTTCTTGCTCCTCTTCAGCTGCCCCTTAATGAGCTCATTTTTATAACAGTAGTGTTATAAATCAGCAAGAGTGACATCTACTTCCTAAACCACATGCCTCTGGAAACTCTATGAACTTGGAGAAATGATGATAGTCATAGAAAGGCTTCAGGCCTTTTGTTCATAGGGTCGCTATGAGTTGTATTTGACTTTTGTTCATAGGGTCACTATGAGTTGTGCTGGACTTTTGTTCATAGCGTCCCTATGAGTCATGTTCCACTTACTGGCAATAAAAAACAATAACAAGTGTTATATAGTATTTATCTCTACTGATTTATTTCACTCAACATAATGCCCTCTAGATTCACCCCTGTTGTAAAATGTTTCACAAGTTCTTTGCTGTTTTTCAATGCTGTATAACGCTCCATTGTTTCAATTTGCTACAGTTCCCCTATCAATTTACTTGCTTATGGGCATTTGGGCTGCTCCCATTTCCTTGCTGCTATTGTGAATAATGCAGCAATAAATATGGGTATGAGGGGAGCTCTGGTGGCCTAGTATCATGAAGCTGCACTAAAATCCCAGAGGTATGCAGTTCGAATCCACTAGATGCTCTGCTGAAGAAGGGACAATCACCTCCTCTACCAGTGAGGTCTGACTTGATGGTACACACACAAAAAATAATAAAATAAAATTTTAAAATTAAATACATATGGGTACGTATATCTGCTTAAGTCATAGCTGTGATCTTTAAGGATATATTCCCAGTAGTGGAATTGTTCATATTGTGCACTGTGTACCAGATCCTACTGTCACAGGAGATTGCCCCTCTTTCTCCAGCGGAGCATCTAGTGGATTTGAACCCCAATTTTTAAACTTTTTTTTTTTTTCAATTTTTAAACTTTTTGAGAAAATATCAAGCTGACTTACATAGCAGTTGTACCATTTTATATTCCCACCAGCAGTGCAGAGAGCCACAAGCACTGTGTATCTTCACTGTTGTTATTAAGTGCCGTGGAGTCCTAGACAACTCATAGCAACCCTATGAACAAAAGACCTGAACACTTGTATAACTTTCATTGTTTCTCCATTGTTCATAGGATGTCCAGAGGCAAGCTATTTCGGAAGTGGATGCCACTCCTGCTTCCAAGCTTGTTTTAATGGGGGAGCTCCAACAAACACTGTCCACTATGGGTAACCATTACTGCATCTGATAATCAGTATCACAGTGTTCAGGATCACAGCAACCATGAGTTACCTCTGTACAGCAAATGGACAGACCAGGTGCTACACCACTTAGAAGAATGTCTGACCAAAAAGAATTAAAACCAGGCCTCAGGGCTGCAGATTAAAATCACCCACCTTTGGCTTGGTAGCATCCCTTTTTATCCCCTAAGCCAACTGAGTTCTCTATGTTGTTGTTATTGTTGCTAAGTGCCATCGAGCGGTAGATGACTTATAGTGACCCTATTAACAAAAGACCTGAACACCTGTATCCTAATTAGTGTTTGTTTTGGTGAGGGTTGTTTGTTTGTTTTTTTTTTAGGGGGGGGTTATGTTGTCTGCTGCTTCTAGGACATTGTGGTGGCATTGTTGTTGTAGATTTTTAAATCTCCTTTCTTCTGGAATGCATGTCATAGCCAATAAGGTGTCCATGTAATTATCTGTTCTTTTTTGTACAGTACCGTTGGTTGGGGTAGTGGTTGGTGGTGGTTGCCATCTAATGCTGGTCAGGTGGTGTATGTGCTGAACCTTGCTCTGATGAGACATGTTAGCACTCCGGTAGTAGGACCCTCAGTGAGGGTGGTGCAGAAGCAGTCCCATTGTTGGGGCTTGTGCACTGTAGCCTTTCCCTACTACCAATTAATGGAGATTTACAATCATTCATTACACTGGTAGCCAGCTAAGTCACTGTCTGAATCCTTAACTCTGTAAATCAGAGACTCTCTATATTAGTAATTTTCTACCACTCAGTGAATCCTTGAATTACAGTATTCATAAGTGTTCTGCTATCTCTGGCATGACTCTGAGTAGTAGGTACATAGGTGACTGGAGTAGTAGGCTGCTGCCAAGCATTGTCAGCTATAGGGTGGTACTTGAGTCTGCATCACTGAAGCCTTTTAACCTGTTGCTAGACACTGTGTTTGACTGGCCTAGCGATGGGAATGGCTCAGGTTTACACCAGGTATTTCCAGGCATAACCAGGTAGTGTCTGCTGGGGTTACTAGCTCGTGTTTGGGAAAGAGTGTGTTGCAAGACCTTTCCTCTGACAACAGATGTAACAGTCTTTGGGGTTATAAGTAGACATGATTTTTGCGTGTAAGGACTGTTTAGCTCTTCCAGAAAGGCACTACATAAGTTCTCACACACTGCATGTGAGCCACCTTCTTTGGCACCAGGTTTAAAATGACAGTGACCTGTTCACTGTAGGAAATGGATTGTGCACAAGGGGTCTAAGAATATCCTATCTGTGCATAAGGAAGTTTGTCTGACCATCAGCAAGTAAGATGGTTTCTCATTTTCTCTATGGTGCTGGTCAGACTGTGGCGAGTTTTGAGCTAAGGGTCTCAAGCAGATTCCCAGAGATTATTTAGGCTGTGTGGAACTGCTTTGCTCTATAATTGGCCTTTATTTGTGATTTTACTCTCAATAATTTACCCAAATTTTCAGGATGTTAGAATCTATCTGTGAGTGGTCTCCCTTTCCACTTAGTATACCTGCAAATTATTGTCATTGTATACTGTCAAGGCTTTCAGAAGCAGGTAATCAAACAGAAGGAGACTTTTCTCCCACAGAGGAAAACTGGTAGGTTCAAACCATTTATCTTTGGGTTTACAATGCAGCTTATCACCACTGGGTCTCTAGAGTTTATCCCTGTGAGAGGGGAAAATTTCCCAGTCTGACTACTTCACTATCCCACTGGTAATCAGGAAGCATTTTTAAAAGTTTAACTTGATCTAACCAGTCAGATCCAATTTGACAGTACACACACACACAAATAATAAAATAAAAAACTTTAAAAAAAAGTTTAACATGATCTAAATAATAAACAAAGCTCTATTGGCTGAGTGATATAGAGCTGAGATGCCATCCCAAAGGCACACAGTTTGAGGCCACCAGCTGCTTCACAAGAGAAATATGGGCCATTTCCTCCCATTCAATTTACCGCATACGA